TGGTCCTGAGCCTAGGCTGAGCCTCTTGTAGAGGACGTACTTGCGCACAGGGCTGGGTGGCGGCGGCTGTGGTGGGGTCCTCGTCCACTCCCTGAACTTGGCCTCTTCTCACTGGGGATTGAAAAGCACCACCTGCATCCTTGTAACGGCCCCTGAGGAAGAAACCCTGGGGACAGTATGGTTAACATTGTCAGCACATTGCTTGCATTGCTTTGATTGAAGGGTGCAGAACTGAGTCACTAAACTTTTGATTTCAAAGGAAATCAAACCGATCTTTAAAACATATATATACACACACACATAGGTATATGTGTATATGTGTGTATATATATACATATATACGTGTGTGTGTAAGCAAATTCCTCGAAACCTACCATGAAACCCCAATGTGCAAGCTGCACTCAATGACCTCAAGCCAGCACTTCCCTGAATGGGTTTTTTGGAAGAGCCTAGAAGATTCTTGTATTGAGACCTCATGGGTTCAGCATCAGCCTGGTACGTCTTTTGGAAAAACAAACCCATTTGTCAGCTTTGCGGGAGTTTCCAGACTCGCCTATGACGCCTCCCTTGCCCTCTGACCCGCCAGACACAGGCAGTGTTGGGTTTTCTCAGGCTGGTCCACCCAGGGAGGCTGCCCACTCTGGGGGTGGGGGGGAGTTGGTCCAGCCCCACTGCCAGTCTGGTAACCCAGGCCGGGGCACCCACTGGGTAGGGTCTAACGGATACTCCTTGTGGCCTCTGTTAATGATCAGACTTTAACAGTGAATGGCTGAGGGTTCATGTGTACACAGGTTTAAAAGGGACTAATTGTCTGGAATGTCTCACATACCAACATATTCAACATACTAATATCTTTCTAAGTCTTAAGACTTTCTATTTACTGCCACAGACCTGTTGTACCCCACCGGGATCGCGGAGTAGCACTGGGTGCGCCGACCACAAAGGCTGCCTTAGGAAAGGTGGCAGAATTTTAGGAGTTCTTACTCAGGGAATGTTAAAAGCACAAAAATTGTATTGAACGAATCTCAGTGGCAAACAGAAAATGATTTGTTAGATTGTCAATGGGAAAGGGTTTATTATGACTGCTGGTGGGGTAAACAGTGGCCGGTTTCTGCCAACATTTATGGAAATAACGTTTTTAAGTTTTAAATGTGAGCTGTAAACCTGAGCGCCTTCGGTTTTTCAAAAAAGAAAAAAAAATTCAATAGTGAAACTGTGGGGAGAAGATGGACTGGAGCCAGAGAAAACATTCTCATTTAATAGTGTTTGCACATGGAACTACAACACAGTTTGTAGCGAGGCACTGAGAAAAACCCACAACTAATCCTTCATCGCAGCTGTCTGAACTCTTGATCATCTGCCATCCCCCAAACAGCGACTTCTTTTTTCTGGTGACTCCAGGCTTGAATGACCTAGTGTGGAGAGTTTAAACTATATACAAGGGGCGGGGGAAAAGGAAAGGAACCTTAAATAAGCCTCAGCCAAAGGTTTTGTGCATTGGACTTCCTGTGCCTGCAGCCGGGCAAGGCTGTTTATTCCCGCCCCGTGCCCGTGGCTTCTCCCCGAGAAGGAAGGCACCAGGACAGTCCAGCTTCGCCTTGACTGACCCTCTCCTACCCGTGAAGTGAGGGTCAGGAATGGCTGTGGTTTATGCCATAGTGGAGTGCTTCTCTGCAGGGAAGGCCTGTGAGCCGCCATACCCTAGCACCTAACGTGGCCCCCGGCCCCCTCAAACATCCGCTTTGGTGAATAAATGAGCTGGCTCACTGTCCTCTAGGAGCTGATGGGGTAAGATACTGGTGCCTCATTTTACAAGAATAGAACAGGAACCAATTAGGTAATTGGCCAACGGATACAAGATCAATCTCAGCGCTTCATTGCTTTATTTAGGGTGGCGGTCAGCAGGCTAAACCATAAAGATTGCTGATACAAAGGTGGCTGATGTCTTTGCCATCCCTCCTCCTCGGACTAAGGCAGTTTATATAATCTCACGCTTATGGAGAATTAGAACCTAGAAAATCATGGAAAGCAATGATTTAAAAAAAAAAATCACATGAAAGGTTTTATTTTGCTTATCCTTTCCTGTTTCTCTATCCATGGATGAGGCTGTCTTAACCACACCCAGTTATTCTGGGATGCATGTTCTAATGAGCTCTGTTTTCTCAGGTCTGTGAGATTTCTGACATTGATCTAGCAAAGCAGAAACCTTACCCTGAGGACTTTCAGATCTCACACAGCAAGTGGTCCTTGCTCGTCATAAGCAGGCTGAGGGCCTTTCAGGAGAGATTTGTTCTCCCAAGGAAGGTTTTCTTTCAGAGACCTGGGATCCCATTAGGAAAAGCACTTCAAATCCAGAGCTGGCTTTGGATCTGATGAGTTGTTCCCTCACTGCCAGTATCTCAGAAGGGACAGAGTACTTACTGTTCCAAACAAGGCCCCAAACCGTCTTCGGGCCTGACTGCCCACAGCCACCATGTTCCATGCATGTCACTAAAGGGCAAGCAAGGAGAAAGAGGGTGGAAGGAGGCAGGTGGAAAGAGTGAGGAACCAGCTAGTGCAAAAACAGAGACTCGTGGTAGGGAGAGTTCAAACATGAACTTCTAGAAGAGGTGGCTGACACAGATTTCGTTGATGTCAGTGGAAAAGTTTGGATTGAGGAGTGGTGATGTTGGGAGGAAGAGTTTGTGCGTTGACAGATGTCTTAGGTCTGGATCCCTTGAAGCAAAGCCTTGTGCAAGTGATGAGTAATCCCTGGTTGGCTGGGGGAGAGGAAAGGTGTAGGGGGCAGGAGCTCGCTAGACTCCCCTGAAATCCTGCTGCTGGGAGAGTTAGGCTTAGAGGGTGGGCAGCCTCAACCACAGCAAGTTTTAAGACATTACTTTCAAGATGATTAGACAATCTTTTTTTTTTTTTTTAAGCCACTGTGATGTGGCCTAGATATAAAATGCATTAAACAACTATTTGGGGAACTATTATTTTAAATATCTCAGAAGGTTTGTGTTAAAGGACACCCCCAATTTTCATGAGCATTAACCATTTACTAGTCTCAAAACATGCATAATGACAGAATTTTAATTAATCCTCCCTTCTCTATGGGCACTTTTAGATCCTACAACATTAATTTAGATAACACCAAATCAATGAAAACTGAAAAACTTATGTGTTGGGCTTATTTTGCTGTTTGTCTACAAAACATTTACATGTATTAGTATATTTATAATAAATTTATTAATACATTTGTATTAATATTACCTATTTTGGGGTTGGTATTAAGTGAATGTTCTTGTGTTATTACATAATATTTGGATAACACAATCCTAAGGTTGAGATAGAGGTTATTTTATACTGTTAAAAAATAGAAAAGTTAGATTACAAAAGAATCTAATTTATAAATATATACAGTCTCTGGCTTTTATTCTGTTGTGTTTTGCTTTGGCTACATGCAGAAAGCATTTCATTCTTACTGTTCTAGGTTTCATCTGACACACGGGTGTTCCATTTGGTACCTTCAGGTCTTTGTTTTACACAGTCATGGAGTCTAAGGTCTTTCATTTTTCTGTATTGTCTCTATAGCTACTGAGACTATTATGTTTCCAAAGCTTGCACCGAAAAGAGGTGGCAGGGTAGAAAACATGATTCAAGGATTCTTTTTTTCCTTAGGTAAAACACTACTAATAACTTTTCACTAATAAAGACATTCAGGATCTCTCTTATGAGACACAAGAAAACTTAGACTCTCAGTGTCAAAATAAATATATGCCCTCATCGCTTTTTACCAATGGAAACGATTTCCAGTGGAAATGATTTCCATTTACCAATGGAAACGATTTCGAAGAAGGTGATTCATATTAGAAAAATGTAATGTGTTTTGTTTCTGGGCCAATACATAGGAGGTCACTGGACATGGTATTTCAGCAGCTGTAAATGCCCCCTCAGTTGCACATTGACTTCCATGCAAGACAGACCACAGGGGTTACGCATCTTCTGGCCTCCAGAGCTTCAGCGGGCTCCAAGGCTCACAATGCATCATAAAGCCATGGTACTCAAACTTGAGCATGCATTTAACGCACTCGGAGGGCTAGTTAAAGCAGAGCCAAGCCGTGCCCCCAGTGTTTCTGCTTCATGTGTCTGGGTGGCACCAGGAAATCTGCAGCCCCAGCAAGTTCCCAGGTGGTAATGATGCCTCTGGTCTGAGGACCACGCTTTGAGAACCACTGTCGTACACAATACTTGCTGAGCCACCAAAAGATGGCCTGATACTATGAAATGGGTTGCTCAACAGCCAGATGAGCCCATTCTGGACTCATGTTATTTCCATTGAGCTCACAATTGCCACAGGAGAATAAAGGAGAGATCAGCACAGACCATTTCAGAGTTTTAGTTCGTGAGCTTCTCCATCAAGTAGGTACCCACACCTGACAGCCCAGTCCTTAGCCCTCTTAAAACATTATTTTCCCTCCCATGTCATTCCCTATTACTGAAGTTCAGAGAAATGGTTAATCTTGAGAGAGGAAACCAGGGACTGAGTTTTGTTAGTCCTGGCAAAAATTCTAAGACATTCCTAGGCAGAGACTGGTCAAGGACAACTAGGCCACTTCTTCCGAGAGGAAATGGTGTTTACTGGTACAAAGCTAACCTTGTCTTTTCAAAAAACGATGGGCGGTCCCACAGAAAGGAGGGAACAGAAGCGGATGTGTGTCCAGCTACTCCTCGCAACCCCCCCCCCCCCCCCCCCCACCCCCATCCCCAAAATGTCTTGAATTTTCTCCAATTTCAACAATTAAAAAGAAGTCCCAAAGCCTCTAGACTATGTCCTGGTTCTTAGCTCATCTGCCCTCAGCAACATCACATTAAAAGGAAATAACCCATTATTCTTCTAGATCCCACTCCCGACAATTAAATATCTGTATCCTAAATAACACTGCTCTCAAATGCTCCGTTTATCACACCTATTTCAAAAATGTCAGGTCACGGAGTCAGTCATTTTATTTCTTAACAAAAGAAAAGAAGACAATAGTATGATGAAGCAAGAGGTGAGTTTTGACCTCGTGGTGGAATTAGGGCCCAAGCCCAGGTCTTGGATTAGTGCAATTCACTCCAGGGTGGAAGGTTGAAGAGATATTGGTGTGTGTGATGATATCATCCAGACCTCCCGGCCAGGTGCCTCCAGAGATAAGTCTCAGCCTATAAAGCAAAGACCTGAGGAAAAAAAGACAAGCCCGATGCCACCTGTTTCATGCTCTAGTGAATTATCAGTGTTTATCAATGTGATGTGTCACAGTTTGTTTTCCCACCAAGTGGCTTGGGGGAAGCCCACTCTGAAGTGGCTAGACCTTCTCCATCTCAATCTGCTGGTGGTAGTGCCGAGCCTGCCGCTGGCCCACGTTCAGCTTGTACACGGAGCTCTTGTGCTGGCACCTGCGGTAGCCCCACACAGCCCCCACGCCTGCCAAGAGCAGCAGCAGGCACAGGACGGTGACAATGGTGGCAATGATGGGGCCTCTGCTGAGGCTAGGACACTCATCTCCCACACATGTCTCCAAGGTGGGAAGAAGCTCCTCACTCGCACCGGGGCCAGGGCCTTCTTGTCCCAAGAAGTCTTCAGACAGCAGGTATGGGAAGTTATCCTGGACCTCGGGAGCAGTGGTTTCCGCGGGCGTGTGGGTGGCCACCGTGACAGTTGAGGGAATGTGGTTAGGTGTCTTTGCGACAGCAGTTGTGTCTGTGTCCAAGGTAGAGCTGGTGAGTTCATAGGGCAGGGTGGCCACGGGAGACTTCTCTGTGGCGAATCTCCAAGGAAGAGTTGACTGGTGGTAGCTGGTCAAGCCACCATCCCCCTTGGAGGGACCTTCAGTTTCAGACACACTCTTGGGTCTGAGAGCAAAAGCTTCTACATCTAGTGTTTGAGATGGAAGAACCGAACTATGGGTCATGTCCTCGCTTGGTGTGAGGGCAGTACTCCCAGGCTTCTTAGCTTCCACGAGAAGGGGCTGATGGGGAGTAAATACAACACATTCTTCCTGCCCTACTGATCCATCCCCTTTGTCCTCATCTTCCTCCACTTCTTCCTCTTCTGCCTCTATCTTCCGCCAAGCCCCATCGGTCACAGGGTAGCCGTCTAACCAGGACTCGTCGCTGCTGCTCACCATTGGGTCCCCTACCTTGCTGTCGTTCCTGCCAAAAGATGGCCCCGAGGGGTCATCACTGCTGCTAGAAATCCCCTTGGTTTCGGGTTCGCCTGGGGCCAACGTTACACCACTGTGGTTGTCTCCAGCAGGGAACTGCCTTTTGGTGTCATCGTCCATCTCCTTTTCCAGCTCAAGCTTGTGTGAGGTCTCGGCGGGAAGCCAGAACAAGTACTTCCCTTTCAGTACAGACCCTGGCAGGTCCGTGGGGGTGCTGCTCCCGGTGCTCGGCAAGCCTGTAGTGGGCCCAAAGGTTGTGTCCTGGGCTATGTTTTCTCTCCCCGCAGAAACAGAGACCAGACGGTCCCGTTTTGGAACCTCCTCAGAGGCCTCGCCCCGACCCTTGTCCTCCTCTGCCTCTGTCCGGGAATCCTCCACGGGCTCTTTGAATGACACAGATCTGTCATCGGGGAAATTATCTTCATAGTCAATATGTGCCTCAGCCTCATCTGGAGGGAAAGAGGGAAAACAACCTCGTTAGGTTCAAGGTCACAGAGTCCACGTTGAACACGAGAAAGGCAAATAAAAAGCATAAGGATTGAAACAGATTAAATAAATCTGTCATCTACAGATGAAATGACTGCGCATGACAGACAAACCCAAAGCATCTCCATATAAAAGCTGTTATAATTAATATGTGTTTATCAAGAACACTGGATCTATGGTCCATATAAAATATCAGTCGTATTTCTATATACCAGCAATAAACAGAAAACAAAGATTTATAGAGATGCCAGTCGCCATAGCATTAAAAAAAAAATCAAACACCTAGGAATAAATTTAGCAAAAGATGTGCAAAATTTCTGCATGGAATGGTACAAAACATTGCTGAGTAAAACCAAAGAAGAGCTAAATAAGTGAAGGGATAGACGACATTCGTGAAATGCAAGACTCAAAACTGTTGTCAATTCTGTCCAAATTGATCTATCTAGATTTAATACAATCCTAAACAAAAAACTGAGACATTGACAAGCTGATCCTAAAATTTATGGAAATGCAAAGGGCCAAGAATAGACAAGGCATTCTTGAAAAAGAAGAGAAAAGCTGTAGGATGTCCACTACAAGATTTCACAGTTTTTCTATAAAACTGGAGTACTTTTTAAGGCTGTGGTATTGGCACAAGAATTGATCATAGGATCACACTAACATTATGAACTTCTGTTCATCTAAAGCCTCCAGGAAGAGAGTCAAAATGCAAGCCACAGAGCTGCAGATATTTGCCATACATGTAATTGCCAAAGGGTTTGTATCCAGAATTTATAAAGAACTCCTACAAATGTATAATAAATAGGCAGACAAAGTTGGCAAGATATGTGAATTGGCACATCACAAAGAACTCTGACAAATGTATAATAAACAGGCATAGCAAAGTTGGCAGGATACTTGAATTGGCACATGACAAAGAAAGAAATCTAAGTAGTCATTAAATGTGTAAAGATGCTCAACCTCAACAGTAATAGAGAAATGTTAATTATTGCCATAATGAAATACCATTACATAGCGCCAGAATGGTTAAAATCATGCAGACTGACAGTATCTAGTGTTCACAAGGATGTGCACACATGTGGTGGGAGTGTGAATTGAAGCAACAGTTATGGAAAACTGACACTGAACATATGCATGTTCTGTGGCACAGCAATTCTGCTACTAAATATAGACTCCACAGCAACGTGTATTGAGTATAATACAATGAGCTCCTACAAAGCAATATGAAATAAATGGACAACCTAGTAGAAAATGGGCAAGAGAATTAATAGCCACTACACAAAGGAGATACTCAAGTGGCCAATAAACATAAGGTGGTCAACATCATTAATAATAGGGGAAATTCAAATGAAGTGATATTGCAACCTATACATCAAGATGCTGAAAATTAAGAAGACTGACAACACCACTAGTTGGTGGGGATCTGGAGCTCCTGGAACTTCAGAGCTATGTGTATACCTACTAAAGTTGAACACATACATACCCCATGACTGAACAATTTAATTCCTTGGTATATACTTAAGAAGCGTGACTGTAACCTGGGCACCAAAGGACCTGTACAAGCATGCTCTTAGAACAGCCCCATACTTGGAACAACAAAAATGTTCATCAACAGTAGAATGGAATACTCCACAGCAAAGAAAAAGAATGAACTACAACTTCATAGAATAACATAGATGTGTCCCATAGACATAATGTATAATTAGTCTATGCTTCCACCTAAATGAAGTTTAAGCTGGGAAAACATAATTCACAGTTATAGTATAAGCTCGGATAGTGGTTATTCTAGAGAGGTAGTAACTGGAAGGGAACATCGAGTGTTCTAGGATTGCTGGTGATGTCCTACGTCTTGATTTGGGTGATGATTACATGGCTGTGTTTATGATATGATAACGCATTGAGCTCTATTACCTTTGCTTTTTGAAACGTCCTGAATTTTTATGGTACTCAAATAAAAATTTAAACAAATGATCAAAAACACACATTATTGTTCCAGAAAAAAACTGACACAGAATGCCAAGATTAAAAGAATAATCCAACTGATAACCAGGCAGAAAAGGCAAATCAAGAGCAAGAACAAAAATTAAATCAGGCTTGCCTATTATTTCTCCTCAGCATTCAATAGGAGACAGGAGAATAATGTCTATATAACCTTTGAGAGAAAGAAAATGTAATTCAACAATATTATACTTTGTTAAGATGTCATTCAATTATGAAGATAGTAGGCATTTTTTTAGGATGTTTGTACTCTGAAGGAATACACCATGTGATATTGTACGTGTTACTTCCATTAGGTTGTAAACCAGCTGGTACTAGAATTCCAAACAAGAATTCACAGTTGAGGAGTGGACAGTTAGCATTCTCATCAGGCAACTCGTCCTCTAGATATGGCTGCTACAAGTACCTCTGTTATCTGCATCTTGATCAAAACCATTGCTTTGTTAATTAGCACCCTGAGTATCTAAGTTGGTTTTGTACTGGTGATTGTAGTGGCCTATTAACTACAATGATAACTACTAGAAACTGGCTGTCATTGGTAAAACAAAACGTATTTATGATACAGGGATTGGCTAAGAACATTTTAGAGACACTTCTCACCCTTATATGGACAGGGTGAAACCAAACTAGACCTTGATGCTTGAGACATAAGCCTTAAATGGTCTCACTGGGGAGTCATGTGTTACTCACTGGAATGATGGGAACAGCATCTATCTGTGGTGGCAGTGACCCTGTTCTCACTGCAAGCCTGCCCAGCTCCTCCCAACCTGGGAACTCTGAGAACAAGGCCATGTCCCCTCTGCCTTGTATTCTCAGCACACAACAAGGTGCTTGGCACATAGCAGACACTCCATAAATGTTTTTTGAATGAATAAATGAGTGAATGAAAAAGTGAATAAGTGAGTTGTGGAAGCTCACTTTGAAAAAGCTTGAGTCGGTCTGGAAGTCTATCCAGACTGAGCTGAGAGAGAGAGAGAGAGAGAGAGAGAGAGAGAGAGAACGCGCGAGCGTGTGTGCGTGCATGCATGCGTGCATGTGTGTGTGTGTGTGTGTTGTCTGGAGGTTCCGCCTCCACAGCTCCCTGAGCCTAGGGCATCTGTGGGCGGCAGCCCAGGGCCCTGAGCTGAGCTCTCCCGGTCTCCCCAGGATCACAAGTCAAGGTCCTGGATCAGACACAGGTTCCCACTTTGTCACAGTTTTCCCAAAACCTCAAATGAAGACAAGGACACCAGCGTTTATAAATAGTCTACTCATGAAAAAGTGCCCCATGCCTGTCTTTCTCCTTATGAGTGATAGTAAAATTTGTCACTCACTGAATTTCAACCAAAAATTAAATTCTGCCCACCGGACCAAGGCACCCAGCCCCTTGCCTGTTGAGGCGCCATTTCTCTCACGTCCCCTCTGCTTTTCTGCAGACGCACGCCCCTCTGTCATTCAGCGATCCTCCCAGCCCTCTCCCCTCCCCCACGCTCTCCCTGAAACCCGTGCGAACACAACGTGGGGCCTTGTGAATTAGACCTACAGGTCCAGGAAATATAAACTTCATGGGTTCTCTTGGCAAAAATCAGGCCATTCCCTGCGTGTTTATATCTAACTGTTACTTTAGGGAAACAGAAGACCACAGAGAGACAGAATTCAGGCGCAAGAGCAGAAGGCTCGCTTGTGCCCAGCCTGCGTTATCGGGGTGTGGCAGGGTCGGGGTGAATGTGCAAGGCCCGAGCCTAGAAGCCTGGGGTTCTCCTAGAACCGTTCATCTTTCTTCATGTTGTTGCATTTCTGGAAGCCCACACGTACCTTCTTTTTTTCCTCTGGTCTTGGCTACACAGCCTTTAAAAATAGTAATTTTGAAAAAGACACCCAGACAAGCCAGAAATAACCACTGGCTCAAGGAACCTCTGAACAAATATGGCAATATTGACCGGGAAAGTCTGAATTCAGTTTCAGGCTCATGTTTTATTCTATGAAGGAAGTTAAGTCCAAACGATGAAGAAAAACAGCAACTGAGGTTAATTTAAGGAAATAAAAGAAAGGCTTTAGCCGTGAGAGGAAAGAGCAAAGGAGCTCGCTGAGGGAACAACCAGCTTGCAAAGGGAGCCCTGCGCTGCCCTAGTGCGGTGCTCCTCTTGAAGTTAGATACCTCTGGAGGAAGTGCACAGATGTGACACAGGTGTGGGAATGAGACCTGCCTGGTTTTACAGATACAGATGTTGGAATGAGACCAGCCTGGTTTGGCATCCTGGCTCTGCTTCTTCTGGCTATGAGATGCGGGCAGGTCATTGAACCTTCTCGTGCCTCAGTTCTCCCATCTGTAAGTTGTAACAAGCCATTTCTACTTGCAAAGATTAAGTGAGAAATAAAGTGTGTAAGACTCCTCACATAGGAAGGGGCACAGGGGGAGTCGGGGAGGATGGGAATGTTCTGTGTTTTGGTGGTGGTGGTGGTTTCATGGGTTATACACCTGCGACAGCTCAGAGACTTTTATACTTTGAATGGGTACAGTTTATTGTAGGCCAATTATGCCTCAGTAGAGTCGTTAAAAAAACAGAACAACAAAAACAGTTTGTAGGATAGCGACGGTATAGAGCAAGTATGGGCCGGTTGATGATAGCTCTTTCTCAGTGCATGCCTGGGGAGTGTGTCCTGTTTCCACAGTGGTGACAGACCAGGGAAGGGGCAAAGGCTGCCTCTCCGATGTCAGGCTCAGAGGTAGTGGGGCCGCTCAGGCGAGATTAAGGTTGGCGTCACTCACTTTCCCGATACTACAGAGAGTACAAACAGAAGCCACAGTACTTGCGGTGGAAACCCTTAAAGGCCTTTCGCAGCCTTTGTCAGGGCAAGTTTTAGAGAAGGAACAGGACAAACCATAAAGGAAGAAGTCTACGAATCTCTCACTTCCTGAGTTGTCCACCTGCGGCTACTGCTCTCTCCACCCCAGCCACAAAGATGGGATAAGAAGCCTCCCTGGCAACGCGGGGCAGAGGCCACAGGACCGCTGAGTGCAAAAGGCAGGAGAGCGCAGTGGTGTGGAAGCCACTGTGAGGCCAGGAGGGTGGATGGGGGGGTAGCCAGGGTGCCAAGGGAACCACGATGGCTCCATAGGAAGGCCACCAGTGGGACTCGTGTGGGCACCAGCACTGCGGTTATGCATCCAGGGGTGGCCACCTGGAACGCTGGGAGGTCAGAGACAGGTCATAGGGGGCAGGCAGCCAGAGAAAAAACATGGCCCTGAAGATGGATATAAGACTTGGCGTAGTAAGAAGCCCAGAGAAATCCAAACACAGCATGGACGTCTGCTGCATACACGCTTAAGGAGCAAAGCAACAGGATTTTTCTGTAATTAGAACAACAACCAATTATAGTTAGATATTGAGAACATCGGAGAGGTATGACAGGCATTTTGTGCTGCCCAACTGGGAGTGGAAACCAAGAAGATGTGTGGATTTGGACAGGAAAATGGAAAACTAAATGGCCACAATCAGGCTCAGACTCTAGGAACCCAAGCTGGAGAAATACTAACCCACAGAGGGGAGAAAATGGTAGTTAAATACGTCCTCACCCGTGTCGGTTAATGATCGAAGCTAAAAACGTCCCTGCATGTAAGTGAGAGACCTCACAGCCACCACTTACGGCTAGACCTTAGGTTGGGGTGAGCGCGCAGCCGGGGCTGTGTGTGGCTAAGGGACCTTCCTCCACAGCCACACAAGGCGCTGGGAGGGTTGCTGGCTGGGCCCAGCACAGAGGAGGCAAGTGCTCCCTGGAGAACTGACCCGGCTGAGGCCACAAGAAAAGAACATCTGTGAGAAGAACACACATTAGAGAGTGACCCGCTCCTTGCCCACGGGGTCCCCATCAAGTCCCACAGTCTCATGGGCCATGTCTTTCTTGAGCATTTCTTCCGTCTGGAAACATACCCTTCCTTTCAAACGTCACCTTCCGCAACACCACGTGTCCCAGCTTTCCCTTCTGCCTCATCATCTGCTGCGTTCCTGCCCCCTCTGAGGCGTTCTGGGTTTACAAGGGCACTTATGCTCAACTTTGTAGGCACGGCGCCTAGGACTCTGCCAAGTGAAGGGACGCAGAGCGAGTGAGTGAAGGGACGGCCAATCGGCCAGTACAAGGAATGAATTTTGTTATCCAAACCCAGGTGAGTCCCCCTCTGAAAGCCTTGTTTGACCCACTCTCCGAAGAAGACTCTTCTCCAATATCAAGCAGTTTCCTAATTTAAAAAGTTGATGTTCACTGGAAAAATAAATGCAAAATGGAGTGCAAAATGGAGTGAACCACCTGGTCATGATATTCTTGTAAGACACATGTGCACGCACACACTTCTTATAATGACACAGAGACTTGAAATATTAAATCTACACAGTAATGAAGACTGTAACAGTCTGTACACCCAGCCAAGTGTAGAACCCAAAATTCCTGCCCAGCAGCTGAAGGCTCTAACAGCTCTGCTTTGCAGTGAGGGAATAAACACCATTTCAAACACACAAAACCTGCATTTAGTCCTCACTCTACTGGGGCCAGTAAACAACCATTTGGCTGGTAGGTGTGGCTCAGGGGATGGGGCAGCTTCAGGGCCTGGGCAGAAGCAGGGCCAGCCCATTAACCATGTCAGCGCAAGTACGGGCCTCCTCCGGGCTGACACATTCAACAAAACAGGCGCTCGGGACCGATGCCTGCTTTTCTCAGACAGGTGAATGACCGGACCTGGCAAGGAGCTCCCACTGGCCACAAAGCAGCAGCAACAGGGGGAAGATGAGGAAAATGCTAGAAGATGGCTCCAATCATGCTTTTAGAACTTATCCCACTGTGTGTCCTTTCGTTACTAGTACGCAGCAAGGCAAGTAGATACACTGAGAGGAAGATTTTAGAAGCTTTGAAACAACAGGACAGGCGAATTTTATGTCTATTTAATTTGACAAAGAATTGTGCTCATATTTGGGATATCTTTGTTTAATTTAGTTTTATATTAATATGTTTTTATTGCATTTCACTGAAATATCAGTCTGCCAATGACTAGGAAAAAAATGTAACGGTTCACAGAAAGTATGAGAAGTAGTAAAACAGACAATAATAAAAAACTATTCGCTTTAAAAGACACTCCAAGAGGAAAAAGCCACAGAATGGGAGAGAGGATTTGCAACACATTTAGTTAAGAACGTTTTATGTAGAGAAGAAATCCTAAATTACGCAAATAATCAATTCAAATCAATCTTATCATGTTTGGGGAGCTCAGTGCCCGTCGGGAATCTTTTTAGTCTCAACTAAATATTCGGACTCACACGACTTCCACAGGCTACAGGCCAGGTAGCAGCGCAAGGCTGAGACGGCAGGCAATTCTTGTCACCAGGGGCAGTCCCCACAGCTGTCCTGGAGCTACTCTCCCTGTTTCGCCCTTGCCTCTGACGTCTCCTGTGACTGCTCAAGTGCAAGGGAGCAGGACTTGCGTGCGTGCGTGCGTGCGTGCGTGTGTGCGTGCATGGCAGTGGACCCGCCCCCGTTTACAAATCCCATGCCCTGGCAAGAGCAACAGCTCTTGTCCGGGTCCCCATAAGGGTCACAGCGTGTAGGAACAAGAATCACCCCACTCAGAGAAGCCCACAGCTGGGGTACGCTTTCCTGTGAGCGTACCAATCAGGGGTCATTTTTACCATAAGATTGTTGCTTGGCACCACAGCGGGCATCCCCCGTTGATCGGTTGCCAGGGAAATAACCCAGACACTCAACCCAAGGTCAACTCTGTCCTTAGGGCAGAAGAGAGGGTTTTGTTTACCCTTCATCCCCAGCACAGAGGATGAGGACCTCAAGTGTGGAAACCGCATTTGAAAGGCTGCAGGAACGCCCAGGTGGACATGTTGCCAGGTCCAGAACTTAGGGGAAAGGTCTGAAAGCCCCTTTTTTCCAAAGGGAGCTTTCTGGAGATGAGCCCAGCCCATGAGGCTTTGGTCACACGTGAGGGAACATGGAGGTGGCCCGGCCCGGGGTGGCTTACCTCTCCCGCAGGCCTGCACCAGGCCGTACCACTCCCCACAGCTGTTACACAGCAAGGTGAAGGCACTTTCGCGGTGGCCCGTGACGTGGCCCGGGGCACACACGTACAGCAGCTCGTCCCCCATCTCCAAGCCAGTGCGTCCCTGCAGGACGGTGTGTGGGAACGAAGGCGGGTCTCCACACGGCTTCTCTGAGGACAAGGAATCACAATTAGCTTCCTCCAACTGGGCAGACCTCCTGTGGCAGAGAGATAACGAACTCGAACGACCGCTCTCCTCCCCGCCCCCATGGGTGCTGCCCGCATCCCGAACTGGGGTCACGGCGGCTGTTTCTCCTCCACTCTGGCACCCCAGGCTCTGGCAGAATGCGGCACAAATGAGGCCCTCAAAAAGTATTTGTTGAATGAATACATATGCTTTTAAAATACAACTCTGTATTTTACAATCCCAGGCAACATGACCTTTTAACCTTCCTTTGAAAGGAGGACCCAGAGACATATGCCCAGCAGTGAGCTTCCCCCCACCCCCGCTTTTATTTTGGCCTTATTTACATAAGCAAATAGGTACTCATTGTCAGAAGCTAAAATGTTAGAGACTATAGAGTCCCGGCCAAGGGTGCCTCTCCCTTCCTCCAGCCTCCACCCTGATGGTAACTCTGTGACCACCTTGGTATGTACCAATAAATACAGATGCAGGTACACGCACACACACGCATAGGTGGACAGACAGATACACTCGTAGATAGATATAGTTGTGACTGCATGGTTTTTTAATATAAATGGGATCATATGTATTACTAAGAACGTGATTTAACAAAAAGAAACCAAAAACCTATTTTTTAGAGCAGTTTTAGGTTCACAGCAGAAGTGAGCAGAAAGTACAGATGGTTCCTATATCCCTACTCCGACCACGCACGGCCGCGCCTGTGATCAACAGGCCATGCCAGAGGGGCACGTTTGTTACCGCCGATGCACCTACACCGACACGTTATTACTACTGGCCAACAACCAGTTCTCATTTGGGTTCACTCTGTGGCGGAGCCTCACGCTTGGACCAAAGATGGAGACGAGCCCCCACCCGGCCCTGGAATCTCCCCCTGTGCCTGCCCCCAAGCTGGCCCCAAGCTGGTGGAGGATACGGCCTAGGTGTCCTTTGAACTCCCTGCCCTAGTTCTCCGTGGAAAAGTTTTTACTGGTGTGTATAAAAAAGGGGCAATGCAATAAACCCGACGGGCTCAGGGGGCCCACATGACAGGCCTTACAAACTTAGTGACCAAAAGTAACCACACGGGGCGGTCTGATCGCAAATCCCTAACGGGGTAGGCATGGCAGGGAGTCACAGCCCAGGCCCACAGCTTCGGTAGCAAAGGTCAGTCTTTGCTGTAAGTGAGCCCCGTCCACAGTTCTTATGCCTGGTGCTTTCTGTTTTGGTTATTAATTATTGATTCAATGTCCTTCCTCATGTGTGAGACCAGAAACTCCAAGTGATTTTTCCCCTAATATTTTAAAGGTCTTTCCACATTAAAACTATAAATTACCTCAGCCCTTTGAAGGGCAACATTATAGCACATATTATTTAATCATTACACTGACATTTATATTGATTCCAAGTTTTCACTATTATAAACAACACTACAATGAAGAGCTCATGTGGACATTTTTGTACATACCTTATTTCATTTTGGAAAAAACTTCTAGAAAGTGAATTGCTGCATCAAAGTGATGTAGTGAGACCTTTTTTTGAAAAGGAAATAATTTGAAATTCAAATTTCCTCTTCAAAGTTTTTATGTTGGACAGGAAAGCGTTTAGCCCTTACGTAGTCAAATTACCTAAGAAGCATATTGCTTAAAAGAAGATACGCTAAGAAAGGATGAAAATAGAAAACACTTGTGCGTTAAGCTACTTCGAGTGGCCTCCCAGCTAGTAGTTTGGGTGGCACTTTCTCAAAGAGAGCCATTCCTGTGTGTGTTCTTTTACTGGAGAGATTTTTGAATGGAAAAGGGTGTGGCTGTACTTTAGGAAGTCAGCACAGAATGTTGCTCTTGAACCAAAACTGTCTTGACTGTAGCCCAGGAGACCAACCACTTATTTCATCTATGTGGCACGTCGGGACAGGCAGCCATCTGAAAGTTGCCACAAATCCAGGGGCACCCCACTGAGCAGAGAGGCATTATCCCTGGCCTCACTGGGTCTGAGCAGGGCATCCTGAGGTGAATGGACCAAAGTCATGAGCCTCAGTCAAATAAGGCTGGGCCAAGTGCCAGCTGGTATCTCAGGGGCAAAAGGCTCCGTCTCTGTCTCTACCATCCCCCGCTGCCTATACCTCACGCTGGGTGTCCCCGTCTTTTCTCCTCGTACCAGGATCTAGTTTCGGGAAACTGTAGGCTCTTCATCTGTCACTATCAAAGAACGAGTAAATACTTTCATCCCCTCAGAGCTCTATCTGTGGAACTCAACACCAAATCTTTGGAAAGGAAAATCCAGGAGCAGGGTAACTGTTTTGAGAGTAAAGGGGAGCTTCAGGCCAAATTCACACCCTATCGGACTCCTGGGACCTTACCCCTCAGATGTGATTTCCAGAATGGCCCCGGCTAGATTCTGGCTCAGGAAAACCGCAATAACGCTCCTGAGAGTCTGGGCACACACACCATATGTGTCTGGATTTCCCACAAATGTCCAAGAGAGGAAACACACTGCATCTTAGGTGGTGGGACTTCAGAGGCTCCAAGACAACAGTTCCACGCCTTAGGACGACCAAGTGCCCGCCAAGAACCCCCACCCATGTCCAGGTGCAACTTGAATTAGTCCCGTTCACTAACCTTCCCATCTTTGACCTCACGAGGGAGCTGTGGAAAACAGCTGGCTATATACCTGGGCCCTCTTCTCCCCTTTAGGGAAACTTACATTTGGGCGGTCTTCACTGCTATTCTCAATTATTCCACAGGTAGGGATTGGGGTTGGAGGACTTCTCAAGGGCTGGGTTTCAATAGTGTCGACAGAAAGAGCAATCTCGATTATTTTCCCTCCCAAGGAAAGAGATTTTATGAGATCTTGTCTTGCAAACAAATAGTATCAATGAACAATGACTCATTTTCTTTCTTTTCTTTAAATGACTCATTTTCAATTCCAAAGGGTGCATTTGCTTGCGATTCAGAGCTTCTGACAACCCGTTTCCAGAGTCTGGAACATGTATAAAAGTTGATGCTTTTATTTTGAGGAATCTTACGACTTCCATCATGACATTTTAAGTTCTAAAGAAGAGCCTGCAAACCCCCATTATTATTTCCCAAACCAAGGGGGGGGAGGAATTCCAACACAAATGCTTGAGCTCTCCTTCCTTTTGGTGTTACCTAAGCTATACAAAGAAGTTACCTTTGGTGCCCACCTGCCCAGCCCCCTCCCACCTTACTCCACTCAGTTCACAACCAGCATTGTTCTCTCCATTCCACCCATTTTTATCATTTGTTCTCAAACTCCCCATTCACTGCTTCTCAAACTCCACTGTGTATCAGAATCCCCTTAAGGACTTGTAACACACACACACACACACACACACACACACACACTCTCACACGGTTGTGTTTTTGAGTTTCTGAGTCAGTAGGTCAACGTTAGGGCCCAAGAACTTGCATTTATAATACCTTCCCAGGTGATGTGAATAGTACTGGTCCAGGGACTATCGTTGGAGCTCGACAGCTCTAGATCACTACTGCACTCTCAACACCAGGCTAAATTAATATATGGTGATGGCAATCAAAATAGACACCACCTCTGGCTCTGCTGGTATAGGGAAGGGAGGGGCATTTGTGGAAAAGGGCTCCGGGGAACTCTCTGGGGTAGAAGAAAATGTTCTACATCTTCACTGATTATGAGTGATTTTAATTTTCTTTACACTTTCTACTACAATGACCACATGTTCATGTTTATAATTAGAAAATATATTAAAAATATAAAATGGAGCTGGTGAAACCTATCTCACTAGGTTGTTAGCAGAATTAAATGAGCGTATGCCTTGCCCGGTGCCCATTACGTGCCCAGAACTTCAGAGACACATGTAAACATGAGTTCCATTCCCGAAGTTGGAGACTGATGGTCTTTTGAATCATTCTTTAAGTAATGATGGTAACTGAATGTCCAGTTCCCTCAAACCAAATATAGTGAAACACAGAACGGCTGAACAGGAAGTGAGGGAGGAGAGGCAGAGCAAAGGGGTTCATAAGGCCCATCAGGACATGGACCCAGAGGCACCATTGCTCTGGCCACTCAGACACTCTGTGTTCCTGGGAACTGACTGTGCACCAGGACTGACGTCGCCCAGGTTTTTGGAAAAGAAAACTCGGTCCTGGGGAAGCCAGACCTGGTGCTGTCCAGGCCTGGCTCTTGAGTGGCCGAGGAGGGACCTCACTGCTGGCTGTGATGGGGATGATTCGCGCTGCCCTGGGGACCCACTCGAGCCACTGGGGATGTTCCGAGTCCAGCCCACTCTCCGGAAGCACCAGGACCGCAGCTCGCCCAGAACCAGTCTCCCCAAACCATCGTGACTTCTGTCTGCAATGTCCTCTCCTCCCTTCCCTAACAGCTATTTCCGGAAACAAAATCTTCAAATTCCACCCCAACTGCCATTGCCTCGTGAAGTCTCCATAATTACCCTCCTCCTTCGTGTCATGGAAACACATTCATCTCTTACTTATCCTTATACACCGTCATGTCCTTGAGGGTGGGAGCGAGCTCTCTCATCCAGCTGCCTGTCTATCTGTCTGTCTACCTACCTACCTACCCATCCATCCATTCATCTGAATCACCCACAAGTCTGAGCACTGGACTTTGGGTTACCCTGGATGAATAAACAAATTGCCAATGCCAGGTCAATGGTAATGAGCTCAGAATGTTCCACACTCCCTCAGGAGACCCTGAACTAAATAAGTTCTATCAGGTGTTCAGAGCACTGCAATTTGTCCCAGTCACCTGGTTGCAGCCAAAGAATTTCCCCAAAGCCAATCCTGAGGCACAGAGTCGGGGGGCTCCTCCAGGATGACCTGGGACTTGGCTCCTCTCAAAATCTCCTGATCGCTCTCAAGATGAGCCTCCAGCTCTCGTCTTGATGACAAAGGAAGGGAATGATTCCATTCCTGTTTTTAAGGGAAGTATCGGCAATGGCTGAGTATGCAAGGGCAGTGGAAGGCAGTGCTAAGGAGGTGGGGTAGGTGAGGGGGGCTGGTGGGGCACAGCAGCCCAGCCAGCCCTGGCTTGAGAGGGGTGGGAGACAGAAGCACACCCGGAGTGAAGCTTTTGGGCACACTCCAGACCCCACGCCGTCGACCCCTAACAAGCTGCCAAGAGAAGCAGAGCCAGGGAACCCAAGTGGAGGCAGCTTATTTCATCAGCATCCAGTTGGTTAAAAATAACTTCACTTATTAGTTTAAGTGAGATCACCACAGGACTGGAAATTCACTCTCAGTGAGACAAAAGTACTGGAAGGAAAATGAGAAAAGTCTACATTCATGATGAATGTTCCCCGGGCTCTGTTTTCCTTCTGGGCTCTCTCGAAGGCACCCGCCTACCGTTTTTGGAGTTTGCACACACAGAGCTAAGGAGCACGGGAAGCATCGTCGGGAGAAAGGCAACCTGGGGAGACTATACTTCGTCTCTGGGAGGTGTTGAGCCAGGCCTCACGTACACTCCTGCAGGAACCCCAAGGAACCACCTGCTCTCAGCTTCTGCTAGGACACGCGACACCTTCCTTCAGCACTCAGGTTTCCCTGCTGACTGCACTGTCAACCGAGGCTCCCCGAGCAGAGCGGAGGGCCATGTGGGAGCGGTTCACATGCCCCTTCTAAAGGGAGAAGGGCAGAGGAGCAGGGACAGGGCTCTCCCTGAGCATCCTTGCGAATCCAAACTGCTTTTCCAGAAAGCCCAAGAGGAAGGAGCCTTCTGCCCCTACTCCCATCTCAGCACGCCCTCCTGGGCCCCATCATGGCCCACCTGAAACCTCTCTCAAACCAGGCCTGGAGGACTAAGACTCCACTCTTCCCCAAGCAGCCCCTCCCTGCTGACCTGGAGGTGGCGGGACGCAAGGCAAGGCCCAGGCTGACCGCTCTGGGACGCGGGGGTCTTCAGCGCTTTGACTCAAATGATCCACACGCACCGTGTGAATTTGCTCCACACATCGGATCCCCACAACTCGGGCATTTTGGGGGTGTTTTTATTCGTGTTGTTGTGATTGTTGCTTTTTTTTTTTTTTTTTGGAGGAGTAGGTAGATCATTTCTTTTTTTGAAGTTTCTTATTTTTATATAATCTCAAAGTTACAGGAAAAGTTTAAGGAATAAGGAATTCCCATAAAACTCTTTATCCAGATTCACCAATGTGTTTTTACTCTGCCCCATTTGCTTTAACGTTGTTCTCAATAGATAGATAGAGAGGTACAGACATGTACTGATACTGATATCTATAGAGAGAGAATATTACATGAATATATATATGTGTATCTATACATGTAATTCTTTTCTGAGCCACGTGAGAGTAAGTTGTAGATATGATGTCCCTTTGTCCCTAAAAACCTTGGAATGTATTTCCAAGAAAAAGGACATCCTCCTACATAACTGCAATACAGTTATCAAAATCAGGAAAATTTAAGCATTAATACAATACTATTATCTAATTCATAATCTGTATTCAGATTTCATCAATTACAGCTATTTTCTCCTGGTCCAGGATATAATCCAGGATCACGCATTTCATTTTGTTGTCATCTTTGTATTCTATTTTAATCTAGAACAGTTGCTTACTCTTTCTTTGTCTTTCTTATCCCTAAACATTTTTTAAAAGAGTATAGGCCAGTCATTTTACAGGATGTTCTTATTTTGAGTTTGGCTAATATTTCGTCATAGTTATGCATGTGGGCAGAAACACTACTGAACTGAAGTTGTGTTTCTAAGTCCAGTATATCAGGAGACGCATCACATCAGTTTGGCAATTACTCAATTTTGGAGTCACCATCCAGGCTTTGACCTTGGAAGTTTTTTTACCTCTGGCTTCCTGCGCAACAATTATCAATTATTTATCAATGCTGGATAAAAGGGGCACACAGTTGCCTACACACAGCCTGTTTAAGGGCCTGTGAGGTAGGAAGCCCAGGCCATCCTGCTGGATGATGAGAAACACAAAGTTCAGTCACCCCCACCATGCGAGCCAGCAGCCAGCCCACTCCAGAAGTAAGGCCACTTGACTGACAACGGATGGCAGACTCATGAATGAGCCCAGCCGAGACCAGCAGAAAAACAATTTGCTGGTGAGAAAAAAAAGTGAATGAAATAAGCCACTGCCTTTGGGATGATATGTTACACAGCAAAAGCTAACTGGTACCTCTTATTTATCAGAAGCCCTGCATGCTCACTTGAGATCACCGAAGAACCAAGGTTATGCTGTTTTTCTCCTGGCTCTGTCTTGTCTCCCTCAGGGATCTGAACCTTTGCTGATGTTTGGGATTCAGGGCATCATTTAATTTACTTACGTGATCTAAAAAAACAAACCACGGCCCTGGCTGGTGTGGTTTAGTGGATTGAGCACCAACCTGTGGACCAAACGGTTGTCAGTTTCCCAGTCAGGGCACATGCCTGGGTTTTTGGGGTGTTTGAGAGGGTGTTTCTCTCTCTCTCTTTCTCCCTCCCCCTTCTCTCTAAAAGTAAATAAATAAAATATATTTTAAAAAACCCATGTACATTGTTCTCCCCAGGCCTTTCCTGAACAAGGGCACATTTTTCACTCACTTGATTGGACAGACGGTATCAAGAGACTCCCAACACTCTTCCATAGCAATCAGCAACTTCAGGACGCTCCCTGGAGGAAGACCCCCGCAGCAGAACAAGCCTCTAACAAGCACCAGCCAGGGCCTTACCGCCCCACTGTGGCTCCTTGACTTACTCTCTCCTCTGACCCCTTCCCTGGAGAGTAGAATTTGGTGCCTCTGGGATGTGGCCTGAGGGTTTGTATTTCTAACAAGTTTATCTGGTATTGCTTATCATTAGAGAGATTTGGGAAACTCTGCTGTAGAGAAGTAGCCCTCAAACTGGGCTGCATGTTAAAATCACCAGGGAGCTTTAAAAAACCCCAATGTCCAAAACATTTATATCCGATTCTCCAGGGCTGGCACGCAAGCATCAGTATTTCTTAAAACTTCCCAGATGAGACCAGTGCACAGCGAAGCAGGACCCGGGCTGACGTCTGTGACTGAAGGGGAAGTGGCTGCTTTCCCTCCATCGGCCTGAACGTCCTCTTTGAACAGCTTGTGTTTCTGATATTGAAGGTGGACTGACTTTGGGGCACATGACATGCTGTCCTGGTGACTGCTTTATGGTTTTCTCCTCTCTCAGCTGATATCCCAGGAGGAAGTTGAATTTTCCTTCCTAGGATCAGTTTCCTAAATCATATACAGTTCCATGTGGGGGAAAAGGATTGTTTTCCTCTACAGCGTGCTGTCTACCGTGGAAAGAGACGGAGGGTATGTTGTATCCGCGCCTGTTGCAGGCAGGGCCAGGTGTTGCCCATATTCCCTAGATACCTTTCGCATGCCCATGTTTGGGGGCTCCTGGTGGGCACCCATGCATCTTGGAGTGTGGGCCTCGGGCTACTGGAACTCTTTGCCTGTGCACATCAAGAACCAAAAGACCCTGGAAATTTACATCTCCCTGAAGCAGCTCTTACCCAATGGCTGACAGGTTCTCCCCTACACCTGATCCATAAAACTATGGTGAGCCACACTGTCTCCAGAGATCCCCTGTGGGAGGCAGCCAAAGTTACCCCCCACCTCAACACCACCGTGGACTCTGCTTTGTGTTTCCCCGTTGCTTGGTCTGCTTCCTTCCCCTGTCCACTGAACCATGCTCCTGTTGGCTTTTCTTAGGAAGTCCCCTGGTGCACCATGTTCAGTGAATCCTCATCCTGAAGGGTCGCTTCAAGAGAACGCAACTTAAGAGGGCAACCCCCACAAGCACACGCTGCGGAACCTTTCCAAAGGCTCTGGCACTGACCTTCATCCTTCATGCAAAGGGCACTGTATGTGCCACCGGGAGCCGGGTTGCTCTCAATTCTCACATCGACAGCTCTCATGATTTGCTGTTCACCACTCCCTTTGCTACACACGGTTGTCCTGAAAGAGACAAAGAGGACACTGGGTTAGGAGCACGAACTAAAAACGGGAAAGAACATTCTTTTCTGCTGTCAGCTTCAAATCAGCAGAGATTTCTCTGATTCAGGAGCTTGGGCTGAAAGCATCCGTATGAGAACTCTCTCCCCAACAGAGGTCTAAAATTAGGAAGAAGAGGGGGTGCTCAACTTGAGGTCATCTGTATGAATTCAAGTTTCAGAGACAATAAATACATTGTTGATCTCTTCTAGTATCTCTTTGCATTTTATTTCATAAAATTCTGCTCTTCTTGCGGGGGTTTGTTTTGTGTTCTTTTTCATTTTTTAAAATGAATTGTTAGTTTATGAATCTTAAGCCTTTTTCCTCTTTAAACACTAACATTTATCTTTTCACATTTTCCTCTAGGTATAGCTTTAGTAGCATCCCCTGGGTTTGAGTATGATATATTTAATATTATTCAGTTCTACTTATATGCTAATTTCCAGCATAATTTATTTTTGTCCTATGATTTATTTAGAGATATCTTTTGTAAACAGCAAGTAGTAGAATTTCTAAAAATTCATCTGATAATCTTTGTTTTCTAATTGGAGTATCTCATCTACTTAATTTAATCCCATAGGCTTTGAATTTAAATCTGCCATTTTTCTATTAGTTCTACCCATTTTTTCTTCCTTTCTTCCTTCCTTTCTTTTGCTTCCCCTATTTTGTCTTAATTCTTTTTTTTGGCATTCTCCTTTCCTCTCTAATGGTTAGGAAGTTATATATCCTTTTAGTACTTTTTTAGTGGTTACCCCAGAAGTTATAATATTTCCTCAACTTACTAAAATTTAATATTACTTTTACCATCTTCCTCAATGACACAACTTAAGATAATTAAAATATTATCTATTAACATTGACACAACTTAAGATAATTAAAATACTATCTATTAACGTACTTAAAGTATTTCCTGACTGATATGCCATTTTTTAGTGTTTAGTATTATTACTACTGCTTTATGGAATTATGTAACTTGAGTTTATTCCCCATTTACTCTTTCATCTTTTTTTTTGTATTTGCAGCCTTCCACCTGTAATTATTTTCCTCCTGCCTTTAATGTTTCTTTTAGTGCAAGTCTGATATAATTAATTTTCTCAACTTTTATATATATATATGGAAAACGTCTTAATCTTCATTCTTGAAAAACATCCTTGCTGAGTATAGAATTCTAGAATGGCAGTAATTTGTTTTTTAGCACTTTGAAGGTATCATTCGATTGTCGTTGGCCTTACATTGTTGCTCCTTTAAAGTACTTTTTTTCTTATTACTTTTAATATTTTTTCTTCATATTTGAGTCTGATCAGTTTTGTCATGATGTACCAAGTTGCGAATTTCTTTGCACCAAGTTGTGAATTTTTTGTTTGTCCTACTTGGGTTTTGCAGGGCTTCTTGAGTTTGTGCCTGGATGTTTTTCTTCAGTTGTGGATAAGTCTCATATTGCTTTTGTTCCATTTTCCTTCTCTTCTTTTGGAATTCCAATCACATGCATCTTCTTTGCCTTTTTTTCTTCTAAGTTTTTCATCCTTTTTCCTTCTGTTCTTTATTCTGAATATCTTCCTCTGAAATGTCTTCCAGTTCACTAATTTTCTCTTTGGCTCTTTTTAATCAGCTGTTAGATCTATCTATTAAGTTCTTAATTTCAGTTATTGTAGTTTTCATTTCTAGAGTTTCCATTTGGTTATTTCTATAGTTTTCAATCTTCTACCAAAATTCTCCTTCTTACTTCTGTATCTCTGAACATTATAAAGAGTTATTTTCAAGGCTGCATCTACCAATGCTATTATCTAGAGTTTCTATTGGCTATTTTTTCCTTGTTGCCTTAGCTTCTTATGTGACTGGTTATTTTATATTGTATGACAAACCCTATACTTGCTAAAATTATTTGTGGAACTCAATTGCCTAAGATAGTGTTACCTCCCTCTAGAGATGATTTTATTTTATTTTTATTTTTTAAAGATTTTTTTAAAAGATTTTATTTATTTATTTTTAGAGAGAGGGGAAGGTGGGAGATAGAAAAGAAGAGAAACATTGACTGAATGCCTCTTAGATGCCCCAAATGGGGACCTAGCCAGAAACCCATGCATGTGCCCAGACTGGGAACCAAACGAGCAACCCTTAAGTTCAAAGGCCAACACTCAATCCACTGAGCCATACCAGCCAGGGCTAGAGATGATTTTTAAAATCATCTCTGCTTGCTATCTGGAACACTGGAATTTAGTACCATCTTAATCCAAATTCAGGGATTAAGTTATGAGGATTTGAAGCTAAGCTACAGCTCCTCTGAGGCCCATGTACTTCCTGCAGCTTCCTTACAGCCTTGCAGTGTCCCAACCCAAAGCAAAAGCACTCCCCAGGCCCCCGCCCACACAAAACCTGACTTCAAATCTCTGTTCTCCTTGTCCCACAAGGCTATCAGAACACCTAATCAGCTTTTCAGCCACCTTTTACAGAATTTGCAAAGTCTCCGAGGAGACAAGTGGCCCCAAATTCTATATTCATCACTCTAGACCTCCATATCTACTATGTGTCTACTATGCCATCAACTGCAAGACGCACTGTGCATTGACTAATTGGTTTTTGGTGGGGAGGGGGGATGTGATGGAAAAACCCACAGTGAAATGTACATACTAATGGTTAGATACTTCTTGGTTCCAGTAACATTAAAATGGAAAACCTAGCCCTGGCTGGTGTGGTTCAGTGGATTGAGCGCCGGCCTGCAAACCAAAGGATCGCCGATTGGATTCCTAGTTGGGGCACAGGCCTAGGCTGGGGGCCAGGTCCCCAGTAGGAGGCACACAAGACATAACCACACATTGATGTTTCTCTCCCTTTCTCCCTCCCTTTCCCACTCTCTAAAAATAAATAAATAAATCTTAAAAAAAAAATGGAAAACCTATTTTTAATGTTGTGTAGTAAACATATCAAGTAAGTATGTTTGCTTTATAAAGAACCATTGTCGTAGCAATATAGAGATCCACTATGATGTCTTAAGACTTTACAACAAACCCAGAGAGAAAGGACCTTTCCAATGACTCAGTCCTGACTTGTAATGCCTGGGAGACCTCAGCCTGGCTCCGAGCTAGCTGTTCAGAATCTCTGGATACCCTGGATATCTGATGCAATCATGGGAACAGAGTTATGAAAAACACCCAAACTTGACTACATAATGGAATCATACATGCACGGGACATGCCCTGTCTATTTAGGAATCTGGATGTAAAAATATAAGGTGAGAGAGCCATGGTTCCAGATTCACTGACGAGCTGTGGATGGAGCCTCAGCTGTCCTCTCTTCTCAACTGCCGCTTCACCAGTGGCACACTGGAGACCTGAGTTCCCATGGTTGTGTGTGTTTTCCATGGCCCTCTGCCAGCCAGACATCTTGAGGGTCATCATCTACCACAGTAGTTCCTGGAGCCCATTCCTTTCTCCGTGGAATGGCTCCTGCCTTCTCTGAGTCTGACTAAGGCAGCAGTTAGCAGCACTAATGGGAAGTTTTCTGCTAGCTGGACACGGGAATTACTTCTCCACAAGGATTCCATGGGTCAAGAACTCAGACAGAGCACAAAGGAAATGGCTTGTCTCTGTTCTTTAACATCTAAGGCCCTGAGCTGGGGAGACTCGTAGGCGGAGACAACTCCACAGCTGACAGCTAGAATCACCCGGAGGCATCTTCATTCACACTGCAGGTGGCAGGTAATGACGGCTGTTGGCCTGGGCTGCTGGGGAAAGGACTCACCGTATTTTGCTGTGCATAATGCATACTTTTTTGCCCAAATTTTTTTGGGAAAAATAAGGATGCGCATTATACATGGGCATAACAATATCATGGGTATAATAATTCTGTGTATAAAGCACACAAACACATGGGTGCACATTATACATGGCAAAATACGGTAGTTGGGGCCTCTCCGTCTGGTCTGGGCTTCCTCAAGCATGGCCGGCTCAGGACAGTTAGACTTCTCATGTGGCATCTCAAAAGTGAGTGTGCTCAGAAACCCAGGCATGGGTTTCTCTGACCAAATCTCAGAAGACACATAGTATTTGCCCTGCTGTATTCTATTGGTTGAGGCAATACTACACTGTGCCCGATGCAAATGGAAGAGCAGAGTGAAACATTTTCTGGCTACATTTTTAAAACCTCCATACCATTTTCCTATTCACATGCATGCAGAGGCATAACCACATTGAAAAACAGATAAAGAATATGTACCAGGTAAGAGTCATTGTCTCTGAGGTGGGGAAGAAGAGAGAAACTCACTTGGTACTTTATATGTATCTGTGTTATTTGACATTTTTACAGGTGTTATTTTTGTAATTTAATAAGGAAATTCAGAATCACCAAGCCACGGGGAAATAAACTAACAGAACTCCAGAAACATGTTTTTTATGTGAGAACGCAGACCAAGAGTGCACCGGAAGCCACTGCCCACTGCATCTGGCCTATCCTGGCAGGTCAATGACTCCATCACTTAGCGCCCTCCCCCCCCCATAAGCCCCGGGGGGCGACCGGGTGAGTTGCAAGGACAGCTGGCGCGACTCTCCTGACTTACCCCAGGGTGCCGTCCGCCAGCCAGCCCGTGGCGCACACAGCGAGGGCGCAGTCCTGGACCACCCTCTGCAGCTCCTCCGCAGACACCAGGTGGGCACCCCTGCTCCTGCAGGAAAGCCGGGCCTCCTCCAGCGCCAGCCCCCGAGAGCCATTCTGAGACTCCAGCAAAAAGAGCTTCCCTGTGTGGGGACAAGCACGGACACGGGCTGACTCCAGGATCCACGGGGATGGACTCAGCGGGGCTCGCTCCCCGGCAGACCCCTACTTGCCGAAGAGCCAAGTGCCGCAACTAGCCCCCGGCACTCACGCCTGGGACTCGGTGTTGACAATCACACCCGTGTTTCAGCCCTCCCTTTTTTTGCTCTTGTCTTCTTAAAAACAGAAATTTACCATCCGCTCTGGCATGTTTATCTGGACAAGCCCTTCAAATACTCCTTTTTAAAAAAAAGATGTTTTACAAACACTATGCGGCAAACTCAGTGTCTTAAGTTTCCCTGAGTTGGGTCCCTGGGTGTCCAAGGCACTGATTCAAGCTTCCCTCTGCCTTCTTTCCCCGCCCCAGCCCTGGGGTGACTGCATACCTAACAGGTTGGTTCCTTTCTCTCTGCCCCACTGTCTCAAAGCGTTATCAGGCCCTTCCCAAAGGCAGTTTGCTCCATTTTGCCCCAACCAGACAAGACGGCAGGGGCCAAGTCTGGGGTGCCCTTCCTGCCTCATCAGTACATGGGCATGGAGCGGGCCTCAAACACGTGTGGCAGAATGGGTAAAATGGGAGCATGAATTCAGGCAGAGTGAAAGCTGACACTAAAAGCCAAGGAAGCTTTAGGCAAGAAAACCGTGAAGCAGCAGGGAGCACTGGGGCCCCAGGAAGTGACCGCAGGGATGAGGCCATACCGTGGGTGGTCCTGGGAAGTTTAAGGTAAAGGCAGGAAAGAAAAAAACCAAGTCAGAAGGAGACACTTCACTTCCATCTGTCAGCAAAATTATCATACTCTCTTGATTTTATTAGAATAAGACAACTTGACCGTCATCTACTACAAAATTATTTTAATAAGTATAATCATCATCCAGCTTTGGAACCAAAAGTTATAATAAAGTGACAACTTCTTTTCACATTAACCATATCGGTAGGTGACTGCTGCTCCCTTAGACTTGGTGGAAATATGCAGTACACAGCCTGGATCACCGAACGTGACGGCCCTGCCTGGAGAAATGAACATGCGCCCCAAGACGCTTTTGTATTAATAGCATTGACCTATCTGGAAAAATATTGGTATGAATTTAAACTGAGGTTTTGATGGTCAAGCCTCTAAGCGAGGGGCATAAAAGTGAAAACCCGGGCCGCGGCCGGGTGGCTCAGTTGGCTGGAAACGACAAAATATACTTCTAAATAAACCAAGGGTTCAAAGTCGAAACCACAACTGAAACACAACATTTTTACTTAATTGACAAAAACTTGTGAAGAAACTAAAGTTGGACTGAAGGGAAAGTTATAGCCTCAAATGCTCATATTACAGAAGAAAAGTGGTGGATAATTATTTACATTTCTATCTCAAAAACATCGGAAAAAGAAAATTAAAGCTTCAAAAGAATAAGAAGAAAGAATTAATAAAGATAGAGCAGAAGCCAGTGAAATGGAAAGCAGATGCTTAATAGAGAAAATAAAGCCAAAAGTTGCTTCTTTCTCAAGAATGATAAAGTTGATAAAGCCTTAGCAAAATTGATCAAGACAAAAAAGATAAAATACAAATTACCAATATCCAGAACAAAAGGGGAATCATTACAGACTCCGTGGATGCTGACAAGGTAGTAAGAGATTATTATGTGATGTATGATAGAACTTTTTACAGTTTAGATGAATTGGACAAGTTTCTTAAAAAACCAAATTTAGCAAAACAAATGAGTAAGAAAATCTGAATATTCCTTTATCTACTAAACAAATTAAATTAATCACTTAATATCTTTCCATAAGAAAAACTTCAAACATACGTGACCTCCCTACCAAACATTAAAAAACCAACCAAAAAGCAAACAAACGAAAAAAAGCTCACCTTATGGAAATCCTTTTAGAGAACAGAGGAGGGAATAACTTTCAGATTTATTTTAGAAACCATTATAACCCTGATGTCAATACCTGACAAAAATATAACAAGAAATAAAAATTATAGGCCAATATATTTCAAGAACATAGAATCAGTAATTGTCTGTTTCCCTCACTCCGGGCTCAGTTCTAAGTCACCTTCCTCACTAAAACCCTTCCCTAGCATTCCAACCACACACTCAGCCTTGAAGACCATCCTTACACGATGACTCACATTCTTCTCTTCAGTTCAGACCCTTTCCCTTCACCCATCCACCTCTCCAACCCAACCCTCTCTCACCTGGACAACTAAAATGGCATCCTATATGGTTTTTCTATATCTAATCTTGCTGGTTCCATCCATTCTCCCACTTCAAAATCAGGGTGATCTTTTCAAAATGCAAATCTGATCAGTCACTCTACTACTGAAGCCCACGTGATGACTTCCTTGACTTTTTTGAATTAAAACAAAACTTGGCCCCATATCATTGCATGCATACCAATTTTCTAGCATCATCTTGAACCACTTACACCTTGGACTCCTGGCTTCAGCCATTCTGTCTCTTACCCCCTGTCCCATTTTCTCTGCCACTCACAGTTCCTTTGCACACGCTGCTCTCTACTCAAACACTCTTGCTTCCCCCTTTTTGTCTAGTTAATATTACTCATCTTTCAGGTTCTCTTCCACCAAGTCAAAATCTCCTAGTATATGTTCTCATAGTACCTCTATCCTTTAATCTTACCATGTATCAAAATTGCAGTGTCACCTTTCATTCATATAATTATTTGCTTAATGACTCTTTTCCACTAGATTCTAATAGCAGGCCCTATTTCTCCCCACCATTCTATCCTCAACAGCAAGGATAGGACCTAGCATATAGTAGATGCGCAATAAATTACCTGTCGAATTAATGAATCTTTTCCTGTAATCACTACCCAAATAGTTAATTTGTATTCAGTTAATATGAAGATTTTTCAGTTTCAAAAATATTTTAGAAGTACAGTGGTAGGTCTCTTTTATGCATGAGATGCCTATCTAATTAGTCAAAGGTAAACAAAATGTTTTCATTTGAATTTACCTCATTGACTTTTTTTAAAATAAGTCCATGGAGTTTTTAATAACTCTGATTCTCTCTCTTCAAATGTGTGTAAACACATCACAGTTTAGTTGAACATTCTTTCTCCCTCCTTCCATTACTGTTGAACACAACTAAATACGGCAAATGGAGGTAGTTAAGCATATAGTTAGTTAAAAAAAGAATTCTTTCATAATATAGGTTATAATTCTTCAATGGCACTATCCTAAATGTTGGAGCTCAGCAAATGGAGTTTCTTGAAAGCGACTGTACCCATAATTCTCCATTGGGGAAGAGGAGACGGAGAGATAGGAGAAGGGAGAAAGGGAGGCATTTCTGGCAAGCAGTAACAAGGAAACATGCTCGAGTGCTGTCCTTACTATCTCCTTGTCCAATGATATTTCTGCCTTCAATTTTCTATGGCCCACATCCAGCCAGATAGGCACAAAATATTGATCCATACCCACCTGGCATTGCACTTAGGCAGTTATAATGGGGTGACACTCTAAAGCCTCCTACGTTGCAAAAATAGTTCTTTAAAAGGAATTAAAATTGGTACAATAGTATACATTGTTTAACAGTTAATACCAGCTCCAATTTATTCTGCTTGCAGTCTTTAAAATCAGTTAATTTTTATGACTCAACCAGGCAAAAAAAAAATTACAAGAATTAGCAGTGGATTGACTGCTAATAGTTATGGGGTTTCTTTTCGGATGACAGTAATTTTGTAGGAATTAGTGGTGACGGTTGCATAATATCATGAATATACTAGAAACCACCAAATTGTACCGTTTAAACTGGTACATTTTACATGAATTATATCTCAATTAAAAATCAACAGCGATCACTAGGAGCATTTGAAGTTAAAAATGTTTTCTAAACCTTTCTCTGGGACACAGAGAAATAAGACATCCATTCTTAATTATGAGCAAAGAGATTTCCAAGCTAGCACTTAGGACAAAGAGCACCAAAAATTCTGAGGTAATATCTGGAGATTTTTCTTGCTTTCCCCTTCCCTAACCACCATGTTTCTTTTTATCACGTCGTCTAGTTTCACACAACATTGTTTGCTAAATAGCAAAGACATTTAAAAATACACAGTGCATCCTAAATCAGCCAGGGATTCTTCTCCTTCATCAGTCTAATCTGTCTCAAGCTTGGGTTTACTAGAAACCCCTCCTGGATATGAGAACTGCTGGTTTCTTTCCTTTCAGATCCTCCTGCACCAAATCAACGAGGTTTTGTTCCAAAATCAAAATACAGCTGAGCTAACTTTTCGAAATTCAGCGGCTCTAAGGCTGTGATCTTGCTAATCAAGGGATGCACTGAAAGCCGAATTCAGTTCAGAAAACAAATAAACAACAACAACAACAAAAAATGGTGTGCCAATTTTCAAAACCTGCCATAATCTATTCCTTACCTCTATCTCTAGCCTCACGTCGAACAACGTCTTCACCTTGCACCCTGGGTCCAGCCGCTCTATCATGTATCCCATTTCCCCTGCCACTCACAGCACAGAGCCTTTGCACGCGCTGTTCCCTGTACCCAGGACGCTCTCCTCTCGCCTTTGCCTAGTTGATTCCCACTCATCTTTCCGATCTTCCTGGACCAAGCCAAAATACCGACGGAATCTTCTAATCACTGGCCTTGCAGCCAGGAGCCAGCCCATTGAATAGACGTGGAAAAAAAAGTCTCCCCCTGCAGAGGGGGTTCTGGGGCACTCCAGATGTGATTTCATTGTAAAGACCTTTCATGGAGATCTAGGGAAAGCCCGCGGCGGGACCGCAGGACCAATGCTCTGGCTTCCTCCGGTGCTGAGGAAAGAAAGGCTGAGGGGCACAATGGGGGCGTTTGGGCGAGCTGGAACTCCGGGGGCCGGGAGAGGACGCAGGGTCGCCGGACCGCCGCTCGCCTCCTTCCCTCCCAGGCTTGCGGTTTTCCGGACTCGTCCGAATGGACACCCCAGCGAGCTTCGCTTTCCCCACCCAGACCCCACGCACCACTCCGGCCCCCGCCGCCTCCCGGACACTCGGCGGACACTCACCATCCGCCCGCACGGAGAGGCGCGGCAGACCGAGCAGGAACAGGGCCGCCGTCCAGAGCGGGGCGCGGGGGCCGGGTCCCTCGGCAGCCATGGTCTGGGCGTCCACGGGCTGGCGGGCTCGAGTGAGGGCTCTGGCTGCGATCGGGGCTGCCTGTGCCACTGCCCAGCGTGCGCCACTCGGCTCTGCGCGCTGCGCTCTGCTCGCGCGTCGCAGGCTTCGCGCCCGGCGCGCCGAGAGGGAGGAGCGCGGACAGCCGGGGAGGCTGGGGACGCCGGAGCCGCAGCCTTGGGGCCCCGAGCTCCCGGGGGTCTTGTCCGTGGCGCCGGGGAGGCGGCTGTAGCCGGGCTCCGCCTTCGTGCTGGGCACCTGGAGGCCTCTGTGCCAAAAGAGGCTGCGTCGGACAGCGAGCTCGCAGGGCGCCGCCGGGGCGGAGGGTGAGGGCGCGGGGAGGCGAGGGGAGCAGAGGCTTCAGGGAACCCTCGTCGTCCTGGGGGACTCACGACGAAAGGGTGACGCAGTCTAAGAGGCCGAGCTCTGCCTGGAGGACCGTTAAAAAACGGATTCCTAACTGTCGTTTGCCTCTTCACTTTCCAGCTGGCGTCCTCCTATAGAGGAGGAACATTGTCATGAAAAAGAAGAATCAGACTTGCCAACCTCACTCTAAGACGTGAAACGCCCGGAATAGCGAGACTCTTCCTCCCTAAAAGCGTAACTCGAAAGTCATTCAGATAGGGGCAGCTTCGGGGACGTCTCCTTCGCGACTTTTCCAGGTATGGGGTAACATTTCTCAAAGAACACCGAGAGCGCCGGTGGGGTTGGCACCGCCATCACACCTCTCAAACCACGGCTCCCGGACCTGGAGAAAGCCTGAGATTCGGATTCTTTCTGTCTGGGCTGGCAAACTACATTCGAAACAAGGGTCCCACTGAATTCTGCTGTAAGGGTCCCTGCCATGGATTGATTCCAGCTTCCATCTCGCCCCGTCCTGTCTCCCAGCATCAGCGTCCTTCCAGGAAGGAAGGAGGATTTGCTTTCTTCACAGGTAGAGCAATAAAGATCGGTACTGTTATAACTGGGACGCCCGTGGCGCTCTGCAGTTTACAAATCCCTTCCATCTTCATGTACTGGTCAGCTAATAGCTATTGAGGGCCCACAGCGTCCCTGCCCCTGTTCTAGGCCCCAGTGAGGCTATCATCTGCCCCCAAAGTGCTCACACTTAAATAAGGCAGATTGAACAAGTGATCAGTGCTAAAAAGAACAGATGATTGTGCCCGTAAGAATGATCTAGGATGCAGACATTGAAAGATTATCTACGTCCTTTGTAAGGTAAGAACTGAGATGTGAACCCCCAGATTTACTACAGGTGTCATTTTCCGGCTCACATCACTTCAAGTGTAGAGAGAGGCCATCTCCTCGCCTTCTTCCTCGCCAAACCTCAACTGCAAAACTATTAATACTAGGGATTAATTTCTTTGTAAAATAAAATTTTGCTTTTAAAGACGCAGATACTCTAGGGTGTTAACTGCAGCGAGGCCTGACAATCATTCACACCTACGTGTCGATGAGTTGACTTGGCTACTTCTCTTCTGACAGCTTGCTGCTAACCTGAGGGGTGAGACTTCCCCTTGAGAGACCTTTTAAAGCCTGATCATTGCTGAGAGTGGAAAGCAGGGGCAGGAAGACAAGAGCTGCTGACGGACTCACCCAGGAGCGGCGCCTATTGTCTACTTTTATCTTGCTGCAGCCTCCTGGAATCATTCTCCAGTATTTTAATTTTTTCTCCCTAGGGTCATGAGGATGGCCGAATGCATGACACCCAACACAAGAACAGAAAAGACCGACAGCAGTTTAATAGTCACCTATAGGCCCAGCCTAGGGGAGGAGGACACTGCATGCCGCGCAGGGCCGCTCAGGGGCTGCACTTGGGGACAGAGGGAACAGGCTATGGAACATAGAGCGTTTGCAGTAACAAGGTCAGGTGGCCTCTGGTTCCCGTGGGAGGATGAGATTGTCTTGTCTGAATAATTTCTCAGGCTGGTGGGGAACTGAAGCCTGGTCTGCAGAAACTGTGCCTGGTCCCCCCTGATAAGAAGGGTTGTGTGGCGAGGGGGCCTTATCGGTGGGAGTACAGTGGGGAGGAGCCCTTGAGGTTCGCCAGTTGAGGCCCTCCTGATTTCACCCGATGTCATGACCTTGGGGAAACAATTTAAGTGCTGGGCCTCACATCCTTGTTTATTAAATGAGGATAATAATACCAGCTCCACAGAGTTCTTGCTGTGATTCAGTGAGAGGTCCCAGCACATTGTAAACACAGTGAATAATGGGCTAAGCAATAGGTCTACAATTCATTCTCTTTATTACTTGGGAAACACAACCAAGGGAGAAAGAAGGTGATCAGTCAAATGCCTTTTTAAACATGTTAATGGCAGGACTTCTAGCAAACAAACTAATGGTATTTGCCAGCAGGAGACTTTCCTTGGAATGCTTTTAGTAGGTTGTACCTGGTTGTCTAGGTTTGCTAATGGTAAACAACTCTGTGATCTATGGATTTCTGTGGCATGGATGCCTAGAAATGTCATGTAAGTTATGTAAACATCTAAACAGAAATTGGAGATATGTCGTGACTCAGATGACTCATTGTGTGTAGTAGGTCTTATCACAGCACGTATTTCTTGGTGACTTCATATGTTGAAGTGTAGAGAATGACCTGAGATCTGAGGAAAACCTGTAATGTGATAGAGACCTAACTAAAGAAACAGGAAATACGAACAACCTAGAACAGACAGAGATGATGCAGCAACAAGAAAACTTCAACACAATAATCTTACTGCCCTCATGGAGATAAGAGAAGACACTGCACTAAAAAATCTAGAATAGGTTGATGTACAAAAAAAGAGAGACAGAGAGGAATATTCAGAGTAAAAAAAAAGATTTCTTGGAAATGAAAACATGAGATCAGAAACAGAAAACTCAATATATGAGTTAGAAGATAAAATTGAGAAAATGTACCAGAAAAATATAGCAGAAAGACAAAGCAGCAGAAAATAGGGGAGAAAATAAATAACACCCAGGAATGCCCTTTCAGCCTACACTTTGCCTTAGCCTCAACCACGTGGCCCTTCCAAGCGCGCCACGCACCTCTTCCAGGTACCTGTAAGCAAGACATTTCTCTATTTCACTTTCCCTTTTTCTGTGTCTCTAATTAACAAATGTTAATTTAACAAAGGCACAATATTCTGTGGAAAGCCCATGGTCTACCCAAAGGGGTCTCAAAATTTTTGAGATACTCGGGTTCCCAGTTCCTGCCCTACTTCTGGTTCTACAGAAAGTGACCCTCCCTTTGTTTCCACCCCGGGCTACACTCAAATGTGAATTCCTGTTGGAGTACCTTTAAAAAAAAAAAACAAACTTTACTAAAACTCTATTCATTTAAAGCTTTTACTGATGAAACAGTCTTTTATTAAAGGTTTTTGAAAAGTGTTTTTGTTTTTTGTGTAAATGCAAACAACTTAAAACTGAGCACAGTAGTCCCCATTTGTCTATGGTTCCCAGTACCATGGTTTCAGTTGTCCATGGTCAACTGTGTTCTGAAATATTAAATTGAAAATTCCAGAAATAAGCCATTCACAAGTTTTTTTTTTAAGAGTTTATCTTTTGAGAGAGGGAAAGGGAGAGAGAGAGGGAGAGAAACATCAATGTGTGGATGCCCCTCTCATGTACCCGCTATGGCGGACTTGGCCTGCAACCCAGGCATGTGCCCTGACTGGGAATCAAACCAGTAACCTTTTGGTTCTCAGGCCAGCCCTCAATTCAATGAGCCACACTGACCAGTATGCAATTTGTAAATCTTTAATTTCATGTAGTTCTGAGTAGCATGATCAAATCTTGCACCATTGTGCTCCATCCTGCCCTGGACTTGAATCTTACTTTTGCCCAGTGTAACCACTCTGTGTGTGCTGCCCTCCTGTGAGTCACTTAGCAGCCATCCCCGTTATCAGATGACTATGGTAGAGTTGTGGTCCTTGTGTGCAGGTAACCCTTGTTTTACTTAATCTGGGTAGGCCAAGGAGAAGCCACAAAGTGCTTTCTTTAAGTGAAAAGGTATGTATGTATAGGACAAAACACAGTATATATAGGGTTTGGTACTATCTAGTTTTAGGCATCTGCTGAGGATCAGAGGTAACTACTGAATTAGACTTCCTTATTCTTAGCAGTCCTTTTGACCCTCTACCCTTTTCCGTGGTCATCTTCTGTTGCTCTCTCCTCCCCCCTCTTCTTTTCTCAACTTTGTCCCACTCCCAAATTCATCCCCTTTTCAGTTCCCCTCCTCCCCTAGCTTCCCATCATCAAATACAGAAACAACCCTCATAAATGTTCCATGGTGATTAAATGTGTAAATGACATATAGAGCGAGCATAGACTATACCTGAGAGTTCCATTATTTGTATTCAAAAGATTTTGCTTTGGTTAAATTATTTCAGAGTTCACTCATCTGAAGTGATGTTGGCTACTCTCAACTCCCTAGACAATCTACAGACCAGTCTATACTGTCCAACGTGGTCTCTCAGTTGTAGGGAAAGTTGATTTTCTATCTAAAATCTGACCAAGGATTCTATTGGCCTGGATCATTAAGTAGAATCTCTTGCTATAATCAATAAGGATTTCAAAATTTAGTTAGCCTAGCTGGCCTCACTTATATCTTATTATGTCAAGATTTCTCCTGGGCATATAGAGTCAGAAGGCTTAATATTGATCGTAGTTATTTTAGCACTGAAGTAATGGATAGTGGTTGTTCTAAGTAAACTTATGGTACTTTGGAATTAGAAGCTTACTTCACAATGTTTGCCTTAAGAAGTAATTACCTTTTATTGATTACCCATGATAACAAGGAACTTTAATCTATATTTTTATTTGGAGTCCTTACAACAACTCTATAGTCAGTTTTCAGATGAGAAATGGAGCTTTCTTCTATGTAGATTCTGCAAATTGCCCAAGGTCACACAGCTAGTATGGCAAAGGTGGGATTTGAACCCACCTCTATCTGATGCTAAAGTCTCTACTCTTATCTTCACACCATGTTGCCTCTAGATGCCCTGTAAGCACTT